TCTGTAGGCCCTTAACCATACGAGTGGCCCTTCTCTGGACCCTCTCCAGGTTATCCGCATCCCTCTTGAAGTGCGGCGCCCAGAATTGCACGCAGTACTCCAACTGCGGTCTGACCAGCGCCCGATAGAGGGGAAGTATCACCTCCTTGGATCTGTTTGTCATGCATCTGCTGATGCACAATAAAGTGCCATTGGCTTTTTTGATGGCTTCGTCACACTGCCGGCTCATGTTCATCTTGGAGTCCGCTAGGACTCCAAGGTCCCTTTCCACTTCCGTGCCACCCAGCAAGTCATTCCCTAGGCTGTAGGTGTGCTGGACATTTTTCCTCCCTAGGTGCAGCACTTTGCATTTCTCCTTGTTGAACTGCATTCTGTTGTTTTCTGCCCACTTGTCCAACCCATATCCAAGAGAACGCTAGAACTGTTCAAAAAAAGGGGGCAAAGCCGTGTGTAGATGAAACAAGAGGTGTGTATGCACTACACTTTAAAGTGGGCTAAATGCTTTTGCACCGTATTAAATGGTGTCGGCAGCATATTGCACATTCATTTCAGCCCCTGTAGGAAATTCGGCGGCGTAATGTGTCTTAAATGTCTAGAGGAGTTTTAGTTTGCTGCCCCTACAGTGGCGGAGCGAAGCACTGGGCTCCGTGCAGCTCAGGGGCTCTGCAGGAAGCCCGTGCAGGCAGCCTGGCACCAGCCCGGGAAGGCAGGCTCTGTCCAAGAAAAGCAATGAGCCTGATTGATCTTTTTTTTTCCCCTTCCCCTGGAGCCTGCCTGAGCTGCACAGGGGCCCAGCGCTTCCCTCCGCGGCTGTGGTGCCCCCCGGACCACCTGAGCCGGGTGCCTGTGGGTGGGTGGCACCTGTGGTGGGGCTGCCATGGAGGGAAGCCCCCCCGCCAGCTCAGGGACTGCTCCACCCACCTGCCCCTCCCCACCAGAGAGGCAGGTAAATCAGCGGGGTGTGCACACGACACGGGGTTTAATCAGCCCTAAATTGAAGTGGTGTTTGTTAAAACCCACCGCTTCAATGTAAGGCCCTGTTAAGTGTAGTGGGAAAAGTGCACATTTCTGTATTCTTGCTCTCCCTCCATTCAAACTTGCATTTGCTTAACATTTGTAACCCACACAAAATGTCCAAACCACTTTGTACTGCAGAATGTGTCTTAGTTTAAATATAACTAGGTTTTATATGTGCTGTGCTTGATTATGTCTACTGTGTCTTTTCTTATCTTTGCTTGTAATCCGGGAAGCAGCAGGGTTGTCTTTACTAGGGAGGAAAGCCCCCTTGGTTGGGCCTATTGTCTCCGGATACACCCTGCTGGTTTTTTGTCAATAAAAGAGCATGAAGTTAAGTCACATCAGCAAAGGGGGATTAGACCTCCAGCTTAATTGGCTAACTGGGCAGCATTATTTTTTTTGTTTGTGTTTTTTTAATTAATTGGTTAAAAGGAAAAGACTGGAAGCAGGGAAAGCCCTGATTGGAAAAGCTTGGGTGATGGCACGCCAGGCATGTAAAGAGAAGCAAGTTGGAGCTATGTGAAGGGGAAATCCGAGGTAATAGGAAAGAGAGTCTATCTCAACGCTTGCTAAAAACATGTTTTTCCAACTATGTAAGTTGGTCTAATAAAAACTATCAGATTCACCCAAAGAACCTTGTCTGCCCATCTCAAAGTTTTGAGACTCAGCTTCTTCCCCTTGTTTTCCCCTTTTGCTTTTTTTTAAGTTTTAAGTCGGAGGATACCAGGGGGGTGTTAATCCCTGGGGCATGCTGACCAATTTTGCTAGTGCATTTGGGTCAGGGTTAAAAGCCTGGCACATTTTGGACCAGAGTGAGACCTGGCATGTTTTGGGCCAGGGGGAGACCTGGCACATTTTGGACCAGGGTGAGGAACCTGGCACATTTTGTTGTTTAGTCCAGTGCAAAATAAGCCTGACTTTCTTTTGATTTTTGGTTCAAGCCTCAGCGCAGAATGGCCTGATGCTGTCTTGTTGCCTAGGCCAGGCCCAGCGCAATAGGCCTGGCTGTGTTTTGCGGTCTTTTGCAGTTTTCTGCCCCAAAAAGGCTGGGGATCGGGACCAGGAATTTTGAGATGTGATATGCTATGGAAGCCGCAGTTAACCCCTCAAAGCCACCACAAAGAAGCGCAGATCTGTGCCCTGCAGCTTCCCAGAGAACAACGAGGGGCCCCTTGCACTGCAGAAGGACTGATGATCACAACCAGCTTCCCATGGCATGGCAAAACCAAGGAGCAGCTCATAGTGGGTGTGGGTCCAGCCCATGGCTGAAGGGCAGGTACAGGGGTGCAGGCCCCCAAAACTACCCTTCCGGGAGCCCTCACATCCCAGACTGCCTGGGCATGGGTGAAGCTTCCCCAAAAGGGTGCAAACTATCGGTTATGCCTTGTAGCTAATAGTCTTTTTAAATTGCATTGGATATTTTCCTTTCTTTTCTGTAATGAAATCTATCCTTTGTGCTTACACTGCTTGCAGGGAGGGGTTTCTTTATGTGCAACACCCCAGCCAAATTCAGTTATCCCAGATTTCTGGGTGGGGACTTGAGTCACAGTGAAACCTATTTGGGTCCCCCCGAAATTTGAACCTGGCCCTTGTTGCTGCCGACCGGCGCCCCGCAGGAGGGTTACACATCTTCTCACATCATTTACCTTTGAACTGAGACTAGGCCTGAAACCTCTCTATATGACAGTTCAACACTTTCAGGGAGTCATAACTGAAAACCGATGGGTATAATGGAAATACGCAGCTGTGGAAGTCACGAGCATGCCAACTAAATAGCGTCTCTTACTTTTGCCTGGTTCAGGAGGCAGGACAGAGATGCCAATTCTGAAAAAGAAAAAAACAAAGTTTAAAAGTAGGGGGTATTTAGAGCAGAGATCTGGTCAGAGCCAGACATCCCCTCCATCTGCACACACGCAGACACTGGCTAGACTGGGACCAGATGCAAACTTCGAAGTGAGCGTTACAAGAACTGCATATCTCAGGGGATTAGTAAAGCCCGAAGGAGAACACATCTCTAGGTCGCTGGCTATAAATTCACTCCCTTGCTTGCTTTGCTATGACCTCCCTTGTAGACAAGCCCTACCTACCTACAGCTACAGAGAATTTCAAGGACATGTTCTTGACAAACAAGGGATCCTGACTTTATGCCTTTCCTCAAATGATTTTTAAATTGAGAACCCCCCTATTTTATTGGGCATTCATCAGGCAGAACTTTAACTTCCAGCTATAAAACATTTCAAAAGATCATAATGAGATTTATTTTTCAACAGCACATTTTCCCCTATTATCTAATGGCAGAGCAAGAGAATTAGTTTTCATTAAGCAGATTACTGGCCACCCTTTTCATCTGTTTGGTTTTTTTTTCCAGAAAATCACTGCTATATTTAATTATATGCAAGTAAAATTCAGAATATGAGCACGTGAAGTTTGCCTCTGCTTTGAAGACAAAGGAAGTGTACTGTACATTAGCAAGAGTTCTCATAAAACTTTACCCATGTTCTTTTCTGTCCCTGTCTCCATCGTACCTGCCAAGAAAAATGAAAATGATCGTTAATGATACTTCCACTTACACAGCGTTATTCATGGAGGAATTTCAAAACATTTTAGAAATGAATTACCATTCCAAAATGCCTCTTGAACACACGTACTTATGTATTAGACCCATATTAATGATGGGAAAGCTGAGGACATATCGTTCTAAAGCAGGGGTGCTCAACTTCCAGCCCAGGAGCCAAATGTGAATGGTGGAGCTGTGGTATCTGGTGGGCAATAGTCCTCATGGGTTAGGAAATTTGGCAATGGGGGAGTGGTGGCAATTAATATGGCCACCCTCCCCACTGCTAAACTCCCAAACCTCAAGCTCTGCACAGTGGTTTAGGGCCAGGCTATGCCCCCTTCCCTCCATGCAGCTGGGTTAGGGCTGGGCCACATCCCCTCCTTCCCTCTCTCCCCCAACACATCTGGATGGGGCAGGGCCAGGCCCTCTGTCCCTGTGGCTGGCTCAGGACCAGGTCATGCGCCTTCCCTGCACTGGGCTGGGTTGGGGCAATGTCATAACCACCCCCCTGGGACCAGCCGCTCCTCCCCTCCTTGCCACAAGCAGCCAGATGGAGTCCCACCGTGACCACCCCAGGCACCGGACCAGGACCACCATTCAGATCAGGCCTGTGGACAGACAGGGCACTGTCCATCCAGCCCACTGGCCAAAAGTTGAGCACCGCATACATTGCTGTGTTGCAACGCAGGGCTGCACGGAGACGAATGAGGTAGCTTGGAAAGTGGATTTAGTGTAGCCACATTAGTATGACATTCTGGCCAGGTTATGAGCAAGAAGCAAGGTAAGTTAGCACAGGCAGAATGCCCCGCTAATAGGGCTACACTAATTGTGCCAACCAAGCTAGTTCGGGTATGTCTTTGGCACTGCATTGCGAGTTCGGGGATACCTAAACAGGCTACGATTACGTCCCCAAGTCCATATAAGCATCCAAGTCCAAGTGATCTGGCGTGCCGTGTAATACACCTTCCACACACTTTGACAATCATAAGTCTTTGATTTAGAGGCTCCTTTTGATAGCCACACTCCTAAAGCGACAGCCTAAGTGAGTTGCCAAGGCTCTGCAGGTATTCTGCACCAGGGCTAGGGACATTGCTATGATCTCCGGACTTGAATTGTAATCCAACTCCTCATCCGATTCATGTCATGAAAAAGCCTTCATACCTTGTGCAAGCAAACAGCTTTTCTTGTAAACCCAGATACTGATGGCGTACATGCTAAAATACCCAGCATATGGCAGCTCGGTAAAGGTCTCTCCGGAGGGAGACTTTGTCATACATTGAACTGTGCTGTTCAGATCCTACCTCCAATCTGTTCCATGTGAAAAGCTTCCATTAAAAACAATCTCTGGAAGCAGCATGTGAATCTGGTGCAGTTTGGTTAGATGATGAACTAACCGTCCCCTAATGGAGAATTTTTAACAAGTCCTTCACTCTTAACCTTATGCTCAACTTGACAGACATGAAACCAAATGATGTGTATTTTATTCATATGAAAATTTTTTAAGACTTAAAATTACACATGAAATGGAGTCACCCAGGGCCTGATTCTCCCCTGCCCTGGCCCATGTGCAGTGACATAGGGCTACATCCAAAAAGGTATTTACCCATAGATTTCTAACTTTTGATTAGAGGCCTATGCTCTTATTTAATCAGACATTAGTGGGAGCATAAAAATAAATAGCAACTAGGTGTCTTGATACCATTTGGCAAACGAATTCACAGGGAGGACAGAATAATAAGTCAAAATGTTTTATCTGGTTCTTGCACACAGCAGCGTTACACACCGAGTCCACAGACTGCCACAGATATGTAAGCCAGTAGCAAGTCAGGTCCAACAGATTGAAAAAGAAGCCCTATATGCAACAAAAGAACTGTAGGAAAATTCAGGCGAGCCTCAAGCCGCTGTTTGAGTGCACACAGAATATGTCTACATTGTCTCTATGGTCCTTGAGACTTGCTAAAAACTTGACCCAAGCCACCACTCCCACCCTGCACGGTCCAGGCGTAGAGCTACAGAGGTGGGTGGATGGTTTGGGAATGGCCCACACTGCTGCTCTCATGTATGGCAGAAAAAGAGATCTTCAGGGTGGAAGTGGGGACAGGCAGGGGTGTTCTTGGAGCCCCCTCACTTCCTCCACCTTGGGTTTGGAGCATGAGGGGTAGGACCAGGAGTGGGTGAATGGGACTTAGTAGCCAGTTCAGACAGGCAATGTAGATATATCCAGAGGAAACTCAGAAGATCTGCTTAATATGACTAGGAAGGACAAGATTGGACTGGAATCAGGGTGGTTTCCCTTTGAGAAAGCTTAGGACACTAGCCCACGGCATCACCTTGCCCCCACAAAGAGGAAATTTTAACTTAACTTTGCAATTTGGGGGCTTTCTGAAGCTACAGTTGCAAATGTCAGGTCATGTAAGGAGATTCTGGCAGTTTGAATACTTGGGGCATTCACCAAACCAGAGCAACACCCAGGACCCAAATGCATGCAAAAAGTTTAGAACCGACTCAGTGTTCAACACATGATTAAGCATAATACTTTCTGTACATGTATCTACGCAGACTCTGGAGAAATCACGCATATGCTATTCCAGCTTAATGCATGCTGCCATCATCTTACCCTAGCGTGGTCATTACGGCTTCTGTCACCATTATGCGCTCCTTCGTCAGAACTTCAGCCTCTTTTACTGAAAAATAAGCATTTATAATCAGAAGGTGTGGGCCAGAAAAGAGCTATTTAATTAATGCAGTACAAAACACTATGAAGACTCCAGGTCCATAGTGTGTCTAATAGGCTGATTTGGGGCATTATTTTTTATTCTTTTCCTTTAACTATTCTTGAGGATCTTCTTTTGTTTATGGATAAACTTGCCTTTAACCTGACGCATGGTCCTGTAAGGATCCATCTCACAAGAGATGAGTGCAATACTTTTCTAGCAAAGAGAAGGGACAATTAACCAGAGTTCTGGGGAAACGTAGGCAGCCGAGTCACAGCTTGTTGAAGTGCATTGCCTATTTGCATCTGCTCTTCCTTTGGCATGTTCAAGATGTGGTATGAGCTAGCGCTAGCCTACACTATACTGTGTTACGTCAATGCAAGCTGTGGAGCGGGTTAGTAATGTAGCGCAGATTTACCGTCCAGAACGTCGAGGGAGGCGGTGCAGATGGACTGGCCAGCCGTGTTGGTGGCAATGCAAGTGTAGGTCCCACTGTGCTTCTTTCCAACATCCAGCAGGATCAGGCTGTGATGCATGTTGGAACTGGCGAGTTTGTACCCCGGGGTCTCCGGCTTGATCCAGAGGACATCTTCCTTAGATTCTTCTTTCAGCCAAGTAATGCTGGGCAGTGGGTTTCCTAAAGGAAAGAGCAATAACCTCTGTTTTGTTGGTGGCCCTCCCTTCGAACAAACTCAACGTACTCAGCTAAGTGGGAAGTGAATTCTGCTGCTCCATTTCCACTAAAAACAAACGCAAGTGACTGAATACATAAATAAATGAAAACGAGTGTGTTGATTGCACCTTTGATTTGAAGACTTCAACCACCTTTACAGAAATGCAATGATTAACCATCCCAAAAGGGACTACTTGCTTAAACCACACTCCTTCCAAGTAATGCTGCAAATAAGGATGGAATAATAGTATGCTATTTTATTCGCTGAGTGAATAGGGAAACTGAGGCAAAGAAGAGTTTGATATGTTGACCAAGACTGCATAGCAAGTCTTCTGCAAAGAGGGGAAGAGACCCCAGATCTCCCAATTCCTTGCATTAGGTGAGGACTTCAGGGAGAGGATAGTATGCACTAGGCAAGTATACAGCTCAGAGTAAATTAAGCCCGCTCCAGAAAGGGAGTTGTGATCAAGTTACCTTCAACCTTCACTGAGAAGGTGATGCTTACACCTTTCTTCACTCTCTTGTTGGTGAATCTTTCCAGGAACCTGGGTGGTACCAGCTGTTCTTGGACATCTGAAAATGAGCATTCATAGAAAATGGTGAAATAATGCAAGCAGAGCTTAGTCTAACGAGCAATCCTAGTCATTGCAATACCACCTATTGGGCTGCTCCTCTCACCTGTTTCTGGTGGTTCTTCCTTCTCCTCAGGATCTGCAACACAGGAAGAAAAATCATCTCACCATAAACACTCATCTGGGATGGTTTAGCCAGGGCCACATCCTGCCTTGAGCAAAAGGTTCAACTAGATGACTTCCTGAGGGCCCTATTTTTTTGTGATTCTGAAAAATGATATTACTAGACACAAAAACACCTTTCCCTTCCATAAACGGTAAAGACAAGCATGTAATTGCTCAATGCAATGCATATCATTCAGAACTTACAGTCTTATTAAACATTATTATTAATCTCTTCCATCATATATACATGTATATGTGTGTGTGCGTGCGCATGTGTGTATATGTGTGTGTGTAATATATATACATAGACAGCTATACATAAATACATTCATATGTATGCATGTGTGTGTGTGTATATATGTGTGTGTGTAATATATATGTATATATATTATACATACATACATAATATACATACATACATAATATTATACATATACATACATACATATGTGTGAGTAATATATATACATAGACAGCTATACACAAATACATATATATGTATGTATGTGTGTGTATATATATGTGTGTGTGTGTGTGTGTAATATATATGTATATATACTATACATACATACATAATATACATACATACATAAATATTATACATATTATACATACATACATATGTGTGTGTAATATATGTATTGAATATATATATTACACACACACACACACATATATATACACACACACATACACACATACATACATATGTATTTATGTATAGCTGTCTATCAACATCTAATAAACATTTATATTATAATGTACACATACAGTAATTCAGCAGAAAACTGGCTGGATTCAGTTTTACATGCATATGCGCGCGTGCGCGCGTGTGTGTCTGTGTATAACACACACACACATATATACACACACACACATACATATGTATGTATGTATTTATGTATAGCTGTCTATCAACATCTAATAAACATTTATATTATAAATTGCACATACAGTAATTCAGCATAAAACTGCCTGAATTCAGTTTTAATCTCCAATTAATATACCTTGACATTCACAGAATCAATTTGATATATTATCACACAAAACATTTGGCCTTCCTTGTGAACCATTATTGAGTTATAAGAAACAATTATTTTTCATTAAAAGTAAGTATTAAATTTAACAATAAGCAGTGGCTCTAAAACCATCTGTTTGCCCACATTAGGGAAAACTCAGCACTTAGAGAAGGACTGCAGTATTCTGTAGTCTCACATGTGGGTCACATCATGCCATTTGTTTTTAGGCACAATCCTCTCAAGAAGTGGTTGAGGTCATTACTGCTGAAAGGTGTAAAACAACGGGAAATGAGAACAGAATAAGATCACAGAGAGGTGGTGTGCCTTGCCAGAGGCTGTTCCGGTTAATTCTCCAATTAATTTCCTTGAACACCTTGACTTCTTCATGCTCTAATCGGAGCGATAAACCGATGAGACAGAGCGCATCACCGATACAGTGACAGTCGTTAGTCCCAAACTTACCTTTGACCACCAGTCTGGCTGAGGTATATGCAGAGCCAGCAGAGTTGGTAATAAATGCTGAGTATTGACCGGCATCTTCCTTCGTGACACTGAGAACTTCCAGCGCATTAAAATCTTTCTTCTCAGTCTTTAGGATTCGGTCTGAAGCATGTAATGGCTGCCCATCCTTGAACCAGTAAAGGCGAGGTTCTGGGTACCCTGCATGAAGCAATTGCATGTAGGAAGGCCTGAACTGAATTAAATTGACTTGGCAGATTGCGGAGCCCCTCAACCCATTCACATATTCCAGTATAATCAAAGTAAGGTCAATTCTAACTAGTGTCGTCGGCTCAAGGTTATACACTAGCTACCAGGAAACAAAATCCCCAGAGATATAACAACTCCATTTTTATATTTATGAACTGCTATTCAGTCATTCAAACTCTATTTTGTGCTTCTCGGGCTCTAGTGTTGCACCCAACACCTTCTGGTGCTGGAAAAACTGCCATTTGGATGAGACTTTTATATATACAAAACCAGATTCTGAAATCTCTGGGCAAAATTCAGCCTGAAGTCATCTGTTGTCTATGTGAGGGCTTCAAGATGAGCCCTGCAAACAGTGAGGCCAATATAGTCCTCAAGGAAAAGGAAAGAAAAACCAAGGTGACCCCTCACCTTATGGACTAGAGGAGAGAGATCTCCTGAGTTTCAATCATTTATTCTGACTCAGTGTTGTGAGACCAGAGATCCACAAATAATGGGTTAGCAAAGTGAGGGTAGGGTGAAGGTGAAGGGTATCAAGAGCGTAGTCTTCTCCAAAAGAGAGACGGAAAGGACGGAGCAGTGGAGATGGGGCAGAGACACATGGCCTCTGTAGGACGTCTAGGGAGATGTGGGTCAAGGGCTACTCTCCGTTCTGCTTTTGATGGAGCAATCCCCACCACCGAATGGAAAGATCAAGGAAAAGGGCAATAACAGGGACTTAAACAAAGCTTCCTGTTCTCTGTAAAGCCTTATCCCAAATAGAGAATATTTGGACTTTAGCTATTAGCACCAGGACTAATCGTGGTACATTGGATCTACAATTAATTATTAAGGACTGATTTGTTTACTTGTTCAAGTAATTTTTTAAAAACCAGTAGCATATCCCCTCCGTTTCCCATGCCAGATTCCTCAGCAGTTAATGCACTTGGTGGCTTTCTGATTTTCCTGACCTAAAGAAATCTGGCTATAGCTCCAGGGTTTTGTAGGTGTTTACATGCAATTACATGCATAGCCCAGCCCCTGGTCCTGCCTGTGCCCCACTCCCTCCCTCACTGCTGGGGCCTCAATCTGCCCTCCCCTTCCCCCCCCCCGCCTGCCCTGCCCCACGGCAGTGAGGGAGGGAGTGGGGCTGCGGGCGGCGTGGGGCTGGGGCAGGCCCTACACAGCTGGGGCAGGGCGCAGGACTGAGCTGCGAGCGGCTTGTCCGGGGGGTGCCCAGCATGGGCAGGGGGTGGCAGCTTCCACTGCTGCATGAACCCCAGGGGCATGTGGGCCGTGTGCCTGAGAGCAGGTTGCAGGTTGTGGGCTGGAGCCGGGCTCTTCCTGGGAGGGGGTTGGGCCATGCTGTGCTCAGGGCAGGTGGCGGCAGCTCTGAGTGGGAAAGTTGGGGGGCTACGGTGAATATTGGGGTGCCTGGCACTACCACCACCTGCCTTGAGCACAGCCCAGCCAAGGCCCCCACACTGGGAACAACCTGGTATAGCCCTGGCCCCAGCCCGCAGTGGCAGCCTGCCCTCCCTTGTGCACAGATCCAGGAGCACACACCCCCAGTGCCTCCTGGGGTGTGCATAGGAGCAGAAGCCATGCCCTGCAGATGTGCCACTTGCAGCTCAGTCCCGCACCCTGCTCTGGCTGTGCCACGCCTGCCCCAGCCCCACTCCCTCTTTCACCGCTGTGCACGCTCCCCTCCCCACCTCTGCGGCAGCTGCTGGAAGCCCACGGCCAGGCTGCCTTGTGGCCCTACCACTGTCCCATGTTTAGAAGGGCTAAGTCCTGTTAGCCCCCCACTTCCGCCGCCTATGATTGTGTGCGCAAATATGTGCAACACAAGTGTAAACAACTTGCACAAAGAGTTGCCCAATTAGATGTATAAGTAGTTAGCCATTTGTGCATGTATGTATACACGTGCACAGTTATGAAATATATTGGATTAACAGATTAGGATCATAACTGCATGCAAGCTTTCCCTAAAACCTTATTCAGAACTGGCACAGTGACCAACATATAGTAAATGTCCTCGTTACCTTTCACCTTCACGTGAAATTTAGCCAAGGGTGCCCCAGGAGCTACATGAATATCATGAAGCTCATCTAGGATCTGAGGCAGCTGCTCCTCTTCAGTGGTGGACTCCTCTTGTTCCCGGCTAGGGAGAGATTAGAGTTGGGAGGAAAAAGGAGGCATTGAGCAGTACTGAAAGAGATGTAGAAAATGAAAAATCCCCTGTCTGAAGTTCAGCATGAAATGCAGGTTGTGTTGTCACAGCAGTATCTCTCACCATTCAAGTGTAACAACTGGAGTTGGTCAATTATCAAAGCTCAGGGTGTATCGGTATACTGCAGACAGTGAGGTTTAAAGAAGAAGAAATTAGCCTGTTCTGAGGTCCCTCCCTCCTCTCCAGGAGATAATGTGTCACTCACTGGACTCTAATACTCCAGTTGTGCAGGAAGCAGAACACGCTGCGTTTACAATCCCACCTTATGCTACAAGGAGACATTGGCTGACTCTGAGCAGTCAGGATCCACCCATCAGGGCTGCCTTGTGCACTGCAGCTATCTGTCACCAGGCAGACTGAGGGAGTCTGCAGAGGACACCAAGATGTGTGCACAGGAGCCCTCTAGCTGTGCAGCGTCAGCACTGCAAGTTCTCTGCTCTTCGTGGGCTCAGCGTTCAAATGTCTGGTCAGGCATCTCTGGCTTAATTTTTCTACCAGCAGAACAGGTCTGAAAGAATTTTCCCAGGTCATTTGAACATGTGTATGCAGCCTAAGGAAGCAGATACACATCCAGCAGACTTGGATGAAGTACCCCAGTATGCTGCTACTTTTCACTTTCTAACTTTTACCCCATGGTAGAGTAAATTACGCTAAGATAAGGCTGTGTCATGTGTCTGCTCCATTTTTATTTCTAGCTGAATGTGTCACAATGCTAATACTTAAAAAGAAAAATTAGCACGGTGCTACATTCTCCAGTTTTTGCAGCGCTCTCAGTAATATTTTACCTTGAGACGTATCCTTTGGCACTGTAATAAGATGATGTCTCTGTTGCATCTGCTGCTGTATCATAGTCAGTACTGGTCACTGTTAAATGAAAAATGAACATTGTACATGATCCATGGCTCGTAGCCATTTCAGTTTGCAACTGTTATGGCTAAAAGAGTTTACAGGATCTGAAATTGCTTTACCAGAAGTGTTGGCCTTTTGGATCTCACTATTTAATTATCATTTATCTCCACTCACTATATACATTATTACGCCCTCTCCAGACAAAATGCAGCTGGATGTGATCAAGTCTAGGACCAACTGATATTGCTACAAGATACTAAGCTTTTCACTAAGCTGGGGATGACCGAGCTGTTTCTACCTAATTACAACCTCCATGGAGCATGAGGGGGTGAGCTGGGAACCCAAGCTTAGATCACAGTGCACAGAGAAATGCCCTGGGAGGTAATAACCTTGCAAGAGATTCCTTTGACCTTTAGGAATAAATATACTATGCTCAGCAACTAATGAACATATATAACTAACAAAACTGCCAAAAATTGTGTTGCCCTCAAATGCATACCATGGTTAAGGAAAAAAAACGCTCAGCAAAACCATTAAAGCTTAAAGCTATTTCATCTCAATTTTTATCAACAAAGCAACATCCCAGTAGAAACTAGTCAAAAAGCCAACCGGTGGCACCCTTGGATGATTCAGAATAAACATGCAACCATGTATCATCAGTTTTAAAAGATCATTTGAATTTACCCCCTCCCCCATTACTATTTTGACCCTCTGAGTTTTCTTAGTTATTTCCAAAGACTCACGGTCCACTCTCAATTCAGCCTTGGTGGAAGCCACTCCCATGCTGTTTTCAGCAAGACAGCGGTAGACGCCCATGTCCGTAGGGACTACAGCTGTGATGATAAGCTGGTGGCAGCCTTCTTGGTCTTCATTGATCATATAATGATCATCTTCTTCAAGGACTTTCCCATCCTTGAACCAGCGTACAGTGGGCAGAGGTTTGCCGATAACAACACAGTCAAAGCTGACTGGATAGCCATCCTGCACCTCTTGGTTCTGGAGCTCAGTTATGAAGATGGGAGCTGAATGCAGTGTCATTTAGAGAAAGAAAAAAGGAAACAGATGGCTGTGTTATTATGCACGGGTACATTGCAGGAACACTGCTGTACTGTGGGTGAGTGGAAGGGACTTGCTGAGATGCTGACTTGTAAGCTTTTAAATAATAGATTGGTGTCCTCCATCTGCAGACGCAGAGCAAATATGGCATTTTGCTATATCTGCAGCAGTATAAGGGGCAAATCTGCCCTGAGAAAAATAAGATCTGTGAGGCGAGGCATTATTCTTTTGTTTGTATAGTTGGAATAATTGGTGTAGTTAGGAAAGAGAGGGTACACACTTTTAGGCTTCAAGCATCCTTTATGGGATCTGGGACAGAAACAGGCCAAGTAAAGCTAAATCCAAGTGAGAATAATCATATTAATTTAGGCTTCCCCCTTTCAATGGTCAACTTCATTAAAACCTAATCAGGGTCAACTGATGCAGTTTTTCTAACTTGTATTCAGCTTGGCCTCTGCCTGTAATAGCAGTGCTGTACATATTATTCTTATCCAATCTTTTCCCATAGATACATATTTACAATAGAAAATGGACAATGGGGGTTTTTTTCTTTCAAAATTTCAAAATCCCCATGATTTTAAGAACAATATCTGATCCCCAAAGTTCTCTTTTTTGTAGGAATTATTTGCCAGGGGGGCAAAGAGTCCTGTCCAGGTTTAGATATGATTTTTTTAATGGGAGCCTAGCAGGCTGTTCTCACCTGTATCAGAAGTCAGCAGAGGGGGTGGAGGTCTTTTGACTAGAGCTGGAATCTGACCTCGGGCAGGCGGCGTTGCTTTCCCGATGCGCAGCTCAATTTTCTTAGGGCCCTGGTCCAGGATGTCGATCTCTACAGGGATACCCAGAGCAGCAAACATCTCTTGGAAGCGGCTAGCGGCTGTTTTTGCCTCCGCCATGATTTCGAACTTGATGTAGATGTATCGATCGTCCTCGCGGTACGTCTGGTGATCCACCACTTCTTTGTCCCCTTCATCTGCGCTGACAAACAGCTCTTCCTCCACGTCTGATATCTCCGTGGGGATCTTGGATTTGAAGATCTTATGAAGTCTCCTTCCTGCTTTGCGGAAGGCGTCATCCAGTTCGCTGCCGGAGGAGCTGTCGGTCTCGCTGTCCTTGACGTGCTTTGCCAGCTTGTGCTTACGAGGCACCTCCGGCACCGGGCTGCTGACCACCACCTTTGCACTGTGAGAAACCTTCCCAAACTTATTGGATGCCTCACAGGTGTAAGTCCCTGTGTCCTGCATGTCTAGGCCAGTGATGATCAAGGAGCAGGTCCCATCGCTGTAATTATCTATGTGATAGTGGCGCCCATCGGAAAGCTCTTCCCTGTCCTTCAGCCAATGGACCTTCATATCGGTTTTGCTCTGGGCCAGGCACTCGAGATGGAGGGTGCTCCCCAGCTCCCCATTAAAGTCCTTGAAGGTCTCAACAAACACAGGGCATTCTTGCTGCTTGATCTCCTTCCTCACTTTGTACCCTTTGAATGCAGCCTGAATTTTCACAGCTGCCTTGTTCATGGAAGGATCATCTAACTCTTCTGTTTGGGCTTCTGGCTCAGCCTGAGTGGGAGGTGGTGCAGGCACACGAGCCTCATCACCAGACTGCTCCCACTCTTTCGAGGTTTTACTAGTGGAGATGGTCTGAACCTTGCCGCTGATGCTAATGCTAGATTTCCCAACTTTTTTGAGGTAAGTCACAAGTGAAGGTGTCCCAGCCCTAGACTCGTCATCTGAGCTTGTCAAGGAAAAGTCTGCTTCTCCTGTTCGAGTCAGCTCGTCGCATGTGGAGTACTCCTCTGAGTAATAATGAGACATCTCGGCTTCTTCCTTCTTCGCTTTCTGCAGCTTATCATCCTCTTCAGGCACTTCGCTGATGGAGTCCAGGGTCGGCTCCCTGCTCATTCTTCGCTTCTTGGCCAGAGCTTCCCAAAGCAGGTGCAAGTCGCCCTCCTGAGCAGCCTCCGGTGGCAAGCTGGGCTGGATCTGACCATCTACCATCTCTTCAGGTTTGCTCACGGGGGGTGCTTCCTGGGCGATCTCTTTTAGCATGGCCACTGTGGGAACTAATTGGGATTCAGGAGGGGAGATGTTAAAGACAGATTAAGTCTGGACAAGTTACACAAAAACCGCTCCAAGTTTGGCACTGCTTTATCCGGGGTTAAAGTGAGAGTAGTTTTGCTGCGTTTGAATCTTTCTCTGCTCATTTGCACATGACAATTCGAATGTGCCAGCTACTACCCTTTAAAACATTCCCCTTTTGAATGGGGTCTACATGTATGTTCATCCGCCTCCAAAATGACATTCCAGATCCAGACAGCTAAATACCACCAAAAGTAAAGCAAAGCTGTCTCTTAAACAAAAACCATACTTGGTGTGCAGAAAATATAGCCCAGCATCGAACAAAACTGATTTGTCACCCTGTTCCTAAACCTGCTAAGTCGAACCATTTCTATGTGGTATGGCCCTGCAATATTTAAACTGACTAGTACTTTCCAGAACTATAAACTCTCCAGCTTTAGGCTGAGCAAACATCATGAAAACAGTGTTTGGTAGGATGTGCAACAGAAGCCCTGGAGTGTCTATTAAAACCTGCAAAGGATCAGCGAGAGCACAGATTGCAGCAGGCATGTCTACGCTGTGACAGCAGTGTCCTCTGGCCAAGCCATCCTCAAGCATGTCCTGGCCGTCTGCTGCCCTGGTAGACTCCAGATCTGGAACCACAACAGTGAGGCTGCTCTGAGATGAAACAACCCTCTGAGATCTCATCTTCAGCATACTTGAGAGCAGCCACTGGAGACCACATCAGAGCAGCCTTTATTTCTGGGTCCCTGTTCCACCCAAACTTTAAAACCATCTGCCCAGCAGCAGCAGTGGCAATTATATTCAGGCAGCTGAGGGTGCCAACTGCCTTAAGTGCTCATTCCTCTTCACCCCACAGGTCTTAACAACTGTCTCTTCTTTTTAATGGTGGGGATGTCCCGCTAATCAACCTAAGCTTTTTTTTTTTGCCATCTGCTAGATACTCCTGGTCTCTCTTCTTCTATTTCACAGCCCTACAGATTATTTTTAGCTATTTGCAAAATCATAGATCCATGCATGGAGACTAGCCTTCGGAAGTTACAGATACAGTTTCAGGTTCAGGTTCTGGCTGAGCAGGAAAGGGAGGGTGAATAAGCTGAAGAATACTCTGCCCCTGCACTATGCAAGCCGTAACTGGAAAAATCTTTTTTTTTCTTTATGGTGCTTTCCCCAAAACAAAGTGCATGTCTTATTTAGGGGCATGTGATATGCAAGTATATATGGTATATTTCTATTTATGTCTGTGTTTTATACGCATACATATTGTTTTTTCTACATATATGTGTTTTTATCTTTACTATTAGGGCTAGGGAAAGGGTGGCATCTTTAAGAGGTACCTTTGCACTAACTACAGACTGCCTCAGTGTTAGCAAATGAAACTTTGGGATTTTGAAGAACACCACCATCCTGCAGAGAAAGCAGCTACTTTGTTCTCCAAGTGGCCTCACCCTGCCATAGGACATATTGATGCACTGTGCTTTTCAGAGAGAGGCTTCTCATTGCTTTGCTTACAGTAGAAGTAATTTTGACTGAAAGAACAGAGATGACATTTGCATATGGAAAAATAATATATATTAACTGTGCTTTGACATAGGCTGATGCTCCTCTCACTTGAGCAGATGCTTCTAATGAACTTAATTTTTATTCCTTCTCACCATCATTGCTTGCAAGTGAGGTGAGGGCTGAAAAATGTTACAATTCCCTAACAGCATGAAGAACATGTTATTTCTTAATCCATCTTTACTGACCTGTAGCATATCTGATTAAGGCCATTTCTGTGAAAAAAGATATTCTCCTGTTGGCATTCAGAACTTACTCCTATTCATCACTTTGCATTATGAGTCCTCTCCCCTTCATCTTAGATTTGGCAGAAAAAAATAACACCTTCACTCTAGTGTCTGAACTCCCAAATGGTGGGAACTAGGAACTAACTTTAAAACACCCTGAAAACTTATCCGTAGGCTTTCTAGGGGGTCAGCCGATGACCTACATTAAACTCATAGGAGCTAATGAGACACAATTTAAACTTTAGTCTAAACTCTGTAGAAGCCATTAAAATGTTAATCAAAGGCCTGTGCGCTAAATGTTAATGATATTAATTTAGCCAATTCACATGTATCTTTTCGCTTTCTAGGTTTTGTTTTCACTCTTAATTGCAAAGTTTCGGGGCCATTTTTTAACGTTATCATAAATCAGGAAACTCTTATCTGAACATATCAAAACAGGCAGACAAATTCTTATATCCTACTTAGTTATCTATAAAGTGCAGGGAAATTATAGTCAGTGATGGACTTAACCATACAAACACTGAGGCTGATGATCTTTTTTTGTGAATTTTAGAGGGAGGCTAATCATCAGGCTTATAATGGAAACTGAGTTCCAGCCTTAATTACAGCAAGGCACCCAAGTGTCCATCAATAGCATGAATGTAAGTCATTAAGCACAAATTACTTCTACCTTCAAGAGACAAGCTGGCAGAGGACTTGACGTCTGGTGAAGCTACACAGGTGTACAAGCCTTGGTCTTCAGGCTTGAATGCATGAATAAGGAGTGCCTGTTTCTTGCCCTCAGAGATTATTTCATATCTTCCTCCAGCGTGTATGCGTTCTTTTCCTTTGAGCCAGGTAACCGCCTCCCGGGTTTCTCTGGATAACTCACACTCCAAGCGGGCCACCTCCCCTTCCAAGACTGATGTGCCGACTAAATGATGAGTGATCGTAACTGGAGGCTCTGCAATAATAAAAATCAGGGCATTAAAGACAGCGAAAGCACTATCTTCTCCTCTATGCTGACCTAAATACATCAGTACAGGACTAACATGGAGCCTGTGAACTATGCAGGCTTTAATCTTAGGTTTTAGATTTTTGTTTAACTTCTGTACATGATAATTGGAAAGTCAATGAAGAAAAGAAAAGGAAAAAGAAAATGGAAGAGAAAAGAAAAGGAAACGAGAGGAAGGAAAACAGATAGGATTTAGAGTTCGCAACCTCTAATGATCCAAGAATTACCATGACACTGGACGCATCTACTGTGCTGTAGGAACGAGCTACGGTGCAATAGCTTGTTGCTATGGCACTGTAGCTTGTTGCTACGGCGCAGTAGCTCATTGCTACGATGACGGGCACTAACCATGAAGGCAACACTACTGCACCATAGTAATGAGCTTCTGTGCAGCAGCTTGTTGCTAATGCACAGTAGCATCGGAAAAGAACCGTGTGGGGACGGTACTGCGCAGTAATGCTGGTTACTGCACAGTCACTTAGTACTTGTTTAAGCACTCTCGCCAAGTCTCACATATGACCTGACATAACCCTCAGGTCTGACCATATTGGTCCTATATGGTCTTACTATAAGTTAGAAACTCGGAGATAAATGGAGAGGGGTGTTGCCTTAATGCGATAAAGAAAGAATTCAATATAGGAGGAAGATATAAAAGGGGGAGGAAAAGGGGTTCTTGAAAGCTGCCTCCATCTTATATTTGGTGGGAAAAGGATGACACCTTCGTTCTAGTGTCTAACCTCCCAAATAGTGGGAAAATGTCTCATTAGGTTCTTCACTTTGGTAGGTGACCTTCCAACCACAACCCATCTGCGGGACACTGCTACCCAAAGAACAGGAGAGGTGAACATATGTAATACCTGTCTAGCCAGAACAAAGTGAACATGGAGCAAATATGCATTTGGATGTTCACATAACTTAGCCAAGGTTGTAAAAAAAAAGGTATAAAAAAATAAATAAAAGAAGAGAAGACAAAGAAGTAGAAAAAACAGTAGAAAGCAAATAGCGCTTAGGAAGAAACAGGATCTTTTGTAGAAAGAATCATTACAAGACAGCCACCGAGAGCAGTGAAAGAGTGGCACTCTGTCTCTTTATAATGTGGAGGGCTCCACAGAAAGATACTGAAGCAACTGGAAATCGGTATGCACCATTATGTGCTTCAGGTGGTAAACACAACAAATCCACAAATATTATAAAGAAAGTGAGAGAGGCAGAGAGAGAGGGGCATACTATGAAGGCAACACTGCCTCTCCTTGCATGCGTCCTGAGTCGGAGGTACCATCAATCACACAGTGACATAGCCATTCCAGCATGCCCCTTTTCAACCACTGCATCTGATTTCCATCACGGCGCTCAGACAAAACACAGAGATGCATTGCAGGCCACAAGGCAGGTAGATGCAGCTTGGAGAGAAAGGCGTCGAACAGATAGACAATGCAGCAGGTTTCACTTTGCTTCAGCCTGGAACACTTTTCCCACCCTCTCTCCTGGACATGGCAACACTGGGCTTGCGTCATAGCACTGAAAGAGGCCATCATGTAGTCTCTTCACTCCAGTGCGAGGTCCCCCGCATGTGCGTGGAAGCAGGCATGCCATGCGAAACACAGGCCTGGACCGCTTCTTGACGCACCATGGGAGCATCTCCATTTCTCACCTAGCTGCACGGTCTGAGGGATGTGCACCGGTTTGCCAACACCCACTTTGTTGACGGCGGCAACGCGGAATCGGTAGGGCTCTCCCGGCCTGAGGTTGTCGACCACAAACTCGGTGTTTGGAATAACTTCCTCATTGCACAGCTGCCAACCACTATCTGGGGGTTTCCTCTCAACATTGTAGCCTAGGATGCCACAGCCGCCGTTGCTCAGGGGGGTGAACCAGGACAGAGTTACAGAATGGCTGCTCTTACTTACAATCTCTGGATCTTCAGGGGGATCAGGGAGGGCTGAGGGTACAATAAAGTTCCAGTGATGCATGACAAAAGGAAGAGAGGGTTGCTGCATTTTAGTAAGCTCTCCAAGAAGCCCTTATATAGGAAATGAGGAAACATCTAAGCCAGACATTCAATTTTTGTCTTGGTATGAATGTAAGCAGTGTTGGGTCTATGAAAAAGATACATCTTTGCAGAAGAGACAACTCTTTTCAGGCTAGGCTGTGAACCAAAGCAGTGATAACAAGCAATACTTTCCAACCAGCCATTGCAAATGGCCTAATATCTACCATAGCACCTTCCTGATTCTTATGAGATTTAAAGCCATCTTGTCCCATCAGATACTAAGTAGAGATGAATTTAAGATACAAAGATCAGGCCAGAATATCCCCAACTTTAAGGGATGGTCAGGTCCAGACTTGAGTCATTCCAGGCCTAGCCTTAATGGAAATGGAGTCATCACAAGACTGAGTGATCTCTCTAATAGATCTGATGGAAACTGCCCCCAGGCTTTTGTCTTTGGGGCATTTTTCCCTATGTAAAACAGTAAATAAAACAAGAGTATAAGAAGACACCAGAACCGTGTCCCTACAGATTACTTGGATACTAATCATTACACTCCACCTAACCCAAAGCATAACCCATAACCATTCAACATATACTTTGGCTTAGAAGAGAGAAATAACTCTCTTTAATGCCAATGACCAAGTAAGTGGCCTTCCACTGTTTGGTCACTGAAATAATATGTAACACAAAACTGCAGGATAAATTAGACCACAACTGGCTGGCTTCTAAATCTTGAAAACCCAAAACATTTCTTCGGATGGGCAAAGCCTGGATTGACAATCAATCGACTTCTTGTTTGGGTTCATGCTACAATACATAGAGTCTAACAACCCACTTGACCCATGCCCAATAATTTCAGGATTCCTAAAATACAGATGCACCAAAATTAGATATCATTATTGCAAATTTGCTCCTATATGTCCAATAGGACTTAAATGAACCCTATCCAATATTAAATATAACCAATACACTAGAAGTGCACAGCAAAGTTAAGCACTGCAACATCAGAAAGACTGACTCACCATGAAAGTCCAGAATAAAAGTAAGATTTTTTTTTTCTTTAAATCAATATTTTTTCTTGATTTACTATTTCAACTCTCCCTAAATCTGGGGAGTTTGCAGAGTATTGTTTTAAATAAGAACCAGCACATTTGCTTAGGGAACTGGTTTCTGCACGGTTCTACTTCATGCCATACAGAAGAGGTATACGTCACAAAACAACGGATTTCAGCTAATATTGAGAAAAGATTTCTCATCGTTAGCTTGGTTCAATTTTCATTTAACAAGGCAAAATGTTTTCAATCAGGGCGCAATAGCGCAGCAGAATCTTGTCAGTTCTGGAAAAGCTGGAAGGAGAAAAAAAACCAGCACAACTGCAAAGAAAATCAGAGTGATGAGGCTTAGTACTGAAGGCTGAGGATTCAAAAGCAAATGGCTAGCATTGGTAGAAATGTATAATGCGTGAACCTACCTACTACAGATAACTTGGCTGATGCAATGGCATCCCTTGATGCAAACGTCACCTCTCCAGAATGATGCAGTTGGGCTTTCTTTAGGATCAGTTTATAGCTGTTACCATCTACCTGGATTTCCCAGTTCTCATCAGGTTGGATCTCCATGTCATTAATATACCAGGCAATCTCACTGACTGGCACTGCTTCACTTAAAAAACAGCTAAATGTAGCTTGGTCCCCAGCCAGGACTTCAGTATCAACTATAGGCTTCAAAAACTCTAGGCGCCATCCTGCATTTAAAAAACACACAATCAGACCCCAAAGTACTGAAGCAAAGTTTGGCAGATCGGAGTTACTTGATGCATCCTGAGACATAGTAATCTGATGATATTCTTTTGAAATCTAGGTTATGCAATGTAATTACGAATGGCAACGCCTTCAGGAGCTGGGCTGCCGAGGCTTTATTGTGTTGTGTTAAAATAATATAAAAAACAGTGAATTAAAGATGGACCTGACTCGGGCCTTTGCTCTGGTCTATTATAGGAAGCAGCTCTACAAGCTGATTGTAGCTCCAAATGTTTCTGAAATTCTGGAGTCTGTGATGGTAGTGATGATGATGATGATGATGATGATGTAGCTATGACATGTGAAGTGTTCAAGTGCCTATTTCATGTCCCATTAGGATACTCGTTAATCCTGTAGGTATTGCCTGCTTCTAGGTCTCTTTGGGGAACAGAAGTAAGGCAGGGAGCAGACCGATGCATGCTGCTATTCAAGCTTTGTTGGGGGCCGTTATCATAGCCCCAGGGAATCGGCATTACCTTTCACAGTCAGGAAGGCGGATGTCACTGCATCGCTCGCCATGAATGTCACCCTGCAGCTGTCCTGGGGAGTGAGGTTCTTCAACAGGAGGAGATGCCTGCGCCCATTTTCAAAGTAAACCATCTCAACGTTTTCTGTGGTTTTGGCAGGCTCGTCATCAATCAGCCAGTTATAATTGTAGGTCTCTGGTTTGGAAAGGTAGCATTCAAACAGGGCTTCACCACCTTCCACTGCTTCCACGTTCTCCAAACCCTGCATAATACTGTTCTTGGCTAAAGCAAAAGGGAAATGATAGACAGCATCAGCTATTTTGCTCTCACACATTCAAGTATTAATGAGTCTTGGAACATCCTAAATAATCCCCATCTCTTGGACAAGCAAATGCAAGGAAAATCATACATGGAAAACTATCTTGTGGATTCTCCTTTTAATTTCTATGATATTCTCACATAATCTTAGATTTTCAAAAAAATCCACAGCAGTGATGTAGCTTAATAATAGTGAATTGATAAATCCTTCTCGGTCTAATCAGCATTTATCTGGTAACCTGACCACTGTCTTCATGAAAAAAGAAAGGAATTATATACAGTTTATATGCATAAATCCATTGTTCAAGGGCAAATGATACAAAGAGCCATGGCCAGGTCCAGACAATAATTAGATCCATTTTGTGCAAAATAGGAAGCATTTCTTATCAACCTCCTCCACATGTACAGTTCATAGCACTGCTGGGCACGTTTGGATAGACAGCTCGGGTTAAAACTTTACCACATTTCATGTAAAATATGCCATACCTTTATTTCAGGAAGAGATTATTGTTGGCCATGCCATGATACCTGACAACTAGATGAACTAAGGAACATTTGTAAAATGACAAGCTTTAAATAGGTGATATCTTTACAGTCACCAGTTTTTAATATATTACTAAATTCCTCTGAAATACGTGCAGAGCCTGGCTTTCTAATCGGAGTGTAGGAGCAAGTGTGCATGCAAAATTGTGCGCACACTATTACTGCAACTACATGAACAACTTCACGTGTAGGTAAATCCATTTGATGCACCCACCCAATTTGTGTGTGCAGCCAGGCTAACTGCAGAGGCAAGCTAAGCATGTGCTATTTTACAGTATAGCAATTTTTTGCACACACAGCTGGGTAAGCAGTTTGCACGTGGTATTTATATGAATTACATGCCAGGATCCTCATGTTATAACACAGTGTCATGACCCATTTCTGCTTAGTAAGTTCCTTAGTCACTGTGACATCTAACACCTGCAATGGGTTGTCACCTAAAATATTAATACTGAACTGCTTATTCGCTAGCAAAATTAAATCACCAACATTTCTCAACATGCCTGTTTAAAGGGAAGAACAATGGCGCTGTGGCTCGAGCACCAGACTGGAGCTAGGGGCAGCATCCACTCCTGTTTGAACTTATTCTGGTCATTTAGCATCCCTGTGCTTTAGACTCCTAAAGTAAATGTAGGCAGAATCCTAGATGGTGTCTGAAGACTAACCGGATTAATACTTAGCACTACAGAAGGGCAGAATGTTTTAATGAATAATAATGTTTCTCCAACAAATGTCATATGATTGACTAGTATCTATGACACAGACTGAACCTAAACAGAACACTAGAGATCAGACCTCATATCGGAAACATCACTATTTCTGATCATAGTCACAGGCCTGCTAACTGGAAGTGAGAATTCCCTGTGCAGATGGTAGGAAACAAGTTACTAAGACATTACATGTGAGCTTGCTTTGATCCTGATTTACTTTGATTACTGGAGTATTCAGGTGCGATTGGTATAGTTCTGTTTTAAATGGTAGGCTGCAGGGTGGATACAAATCAATGGTTTTTGGGGGAGAAAATGGATTTTTAAAATTTTTAATCAGATTTTTTTATTTAATCATCTTTTTATTTTTTTGGTAAGATTCTCGTTAAAAAGAAAAGATATAAAGATAGTCTTCATAGATTTCATAGACATTAGGGCTGGAAGGGACCTTGGACGATCATCGAGTCCAGCCCCCAAATGCAGGGAAGGTGGCTCCACTGGGACTTTAATTTTGGATATGTTAAAACTCAAAGATATCATCATGGAATAGGGATTATAACTTCTAATTATATACTATTTGAGACAATATATTCATGTAACCTTTTTAGAAGTTGTATAAATAGGTCACAACAGGCCACGGACTGTATTAGGGGCACAATCTGACAGGGTTTCCAGAGGCTCCTCTATAGATTAGTAAAGATTAAATAAAACTACTCTAACACAATGGGACTCAGTGCTCAGTCTAGAAGATCCCATTAAGCATCTCTATGATGCTTAGTTTCAGTTCTCAAACTGTGGATTTGTCTCTCCAAAGATCATAGGCAGACAAGGGTCTTTGGGTAGATGTGATATCTTTTATTAGACTAACTAAATAGTTGGAAAAATTCTTCTTTGCAAGCTTTCAGGCACGAACACCCTTCTTCGGGCATAGGGGGAGTTTGTTGTCTGCAGTGATAACATCCTTGTTAACAGCAGTGTACGGAGATGAGAGGAGATGTTAACATCCTTGCTAAAAGCAGTATATGGAGATGAGAGATAGCAGGCCCGATTACCCACCCATCGGCCCTATTGTCTCTCTGCAAGTCGTATGCACACAATCGAGTCCTTACCTCTCTCTAAAAGTGCAGAGTTTCAAAAAGTTAAATGAATAAAGGATAGCAAACAACAAGAATGCACTTTTTGTAGAAAGTAATGATGAAATCAAGTGATTTAAATCATGATTTAAATTGATTTGACTTAAAACAAATCCACCCTGGTAGGCTGTGAACCTTATTGGACAGCTGATCCCCATGCTGAACTCCCACTGAAGTCAATGGGGGTCAGGGCCTCGCCTGCAGCCGTTGCATGTCAAGGCCCTGTAAACTGCTGCTGGGAGTTAATACCAGCAAGCACACAATACTCCTGTTTGAAACACCTTCTTACTTATCCCCAGCTCCAGGGCTGAAAATGTCCCTTGCAATTTTTTCCTGGAATTAAGTGACTTCCTGTTCCACTTTGTAGGCACCTAAATGGACCTGGTGGCTAAATAAAATCCTAATTTTCCACATTCAAGTCCCTAAAGAAACACTAATGCAAGAGTGGACTGGCTCTCCTTCTCCTCGCTTCTTTTTCTGACCTGGCCTCGAGGCTAAGAGGCTTTAACAGGCTTTCAGAGATTTGAGCAGGAGGGAACAAGATTACTTTTAGGTGCCCGAGTCCACTAAGAAGTGAAATAAGATCCTGACCTATAGTTAGTTTTCACTGGGTGCATCTCCACGTGCGCTTTACTGCAGAGTTGACTACTTAGCTCCGCAGTAAAGTGTCACCATCTACATGTGCAGCACTATTAGGCAGGAGTAAACTAATTAACTCCACCATAGCATAGTACTGCCTGCCACAAGTAGTATCCTATGGTGGAGTTATTTACTCCACCGCAACACATGTGTAGACGGTGACTGGGGCTGGCTAGGGCACAAGGGTGTGGAGGTGCTTGCTGGCTAGCTCTGCACTGAAGTGCCCTCGTGCCCCAGGCCAGCCCCTCCACAGCATGTTGAGCCAGATCAGAGCAGCCCCCAGCTTGCAGGCTGACCTCCTGGGCCTTCTGCCAGCCCAGCTCAAAGTGCGGCAGTCCTGGGCGCATGTGGAAATACTGCACCTGGGAGCAATAAACACTGGTGCAGCTTATCCAGGCAGGCTAATTGCACATGTAGATGCTCCCACTCTGTCCTAAATTGAGAAGATATACATACAAGAAAGACTGCAAGGCCCTTGTATGCTACTGCGTGGGGTGATACAGGTACCTAAGCTAGAGAGAAAAAATTATGACCCCTGAACTCACCCTCAGAGGAACTGAGTCAGAAACAAATGCAAAGTTTCGATCCTCACACCTGTTATTTACACTAATAAAGATTATATAGATGATGTCAAACCCTGAACCTATTCAAATCAAAGGTAAAACGCTTGCTGGGTTCAGCA